CGGGCCCCGGAGCTTGCAACACTGTAGCCGCGCTGGCTTCCACGGCTCCCGCCGCCTCCCCGCAGCGAGTTTCCCTCCCGCACCGGACTCACCCACCTCCGGCCGGGACCCGCCTGGCCAGCGTCTGCAGTCGCCTTCGGATTTAAACTGCGCGCGGTTGCCCCCTCCTCGCGGATTGGCCCGCTCCCGGCCTGGCCCAGCCCTTGGGCGGGGGGAGAAGGCGCACAGCCCCTGCGAGAGGCTGCAGGGCAGGCGGGACGAGCGCGCAGCAGGGCTCCAGGCGTCTGATGTAGCCGCCGCACCCTCCCTGCCCGGTGGGTTTGCATTTGCAAGCCCGACGGGGCTGTTTGTGCAGGGATCCCGCCTTGCATTGGATATTCCCCTCCCCTCCCTGTTTGAAACAGGCCAAGCCCGTAAAAAGACACAGGGAACCCTGTGAAAGGAGGACTGCCCCTTCCGCCCCGGTAGGCTGTAACTGCAGCCCTTGGCACATCCGCCGCACCCTCCCTGCCCGGTGGGTTTGCATTTGCAAGCCCGACGGGGCTGTTTGTGCAGGGATCCCGCCTTGCATTGGATATTCCCCTCCCCTCCCTGTTTGAAACAGGCCAAGCCCGTAAAAAGACACAGGGAACCCTGTGAAAGGAGGACTGCCCCTTCCGCCCCGGTAGGCTGTAACTGCAGCCCTTGGCACATTGCCCGAGCCAACTGAATGGGGAGTCACAGCCTGGTTTTTTTTCCCCCCCAAATAGCACTAGCGCAGCGTTTCCCAAAGGGTGTTCCGCGGAACCCAGCGTTCTGCAAAGTGAAAATAAGGGTTCCGTGAGAAAAGTCCATGACAATAAGGCTATGTCTACACTGGCGAATTCTTGTGCCATTAATATGCAAATGAAGCTAAGCGTGGAATATCAAGGAACCTCATTTGCATATCTAATGAGCCACCATTTTTGCGTTATTCCTGAAAATAATCAGCGTAGCTGCATTGCGCAAGAGGGTTTTTCTTGTGCAAGAAGGGGCAGTGTAGACGCTCTTTCTGGCGCAAGAGCCTCTGCCGCAAAATGGCAGCTCAGATATTCAAATGAGGCTCCGCAATATTCCACACTTGTCCATGACAATAAGGCTATGTCTACACTGGCGAATTCTTGTGCCATTAATATGCAAATGAAGCTAAGCGTGGAATATCAAGGAACCTCATTTGCATATCTAATGAGCCACCATTTTTGCGTTATTCCTGAAAATAATCAGCGTAGCTGCATTGCGCAAGAGGGTTTTTCTTGTGCAAGAAGGGGCAGTGTAGACGCTCTTTCTGGCGCAAGAGCCTCTGCCGCAAAATGGCGGCTCAGATATTCAAATGAGGCTCCGCAATATTCCACACTTAGCCTCATTTGCATATTTCTGGCGCAAGAACCCGCAGTGTAGACGTAGCCAAAGGCTACGCCTACACTGGCATGATTTTCCGGAAATGCTTTTAATGGAAAAGCTTTCCGTTAAAAGCATTTTCGGAAAAGTGCATCTAGATTGGCAAGATGCTTTTCCGGAAAAGCACTTTTTGCAGAAAAGCGTCCGTGGCCAATCTAGACGCGCTTTTCCGCAAAAAAGCCCCGATCGTCATTTTTGCGATCGGGGCATTTTTGCGGAAAACATTACTGTGCTGTCTACACTGGCCCTTTTCTGGAACAGTTTTCCGGAAAAAGACTTTTGCCCGAATGGGAGCAGCATAGTTTTTCCGGAAAAGCACTGATGATTTTACATTAGATTGTCAGTGCTTTTCCGGAAATTCAAGCGGCCAGTGTAGACAGCTGGCAAGTTTTTCTGGAAAAGCAGCTGATTTTCCGGAATAACTTGCCAGTGTAGACACAGTAACAGTTTATGATTTTTAAAAAATAAATTAATATTTATACATTTTTGAATTTTATTGAAAACAATTTTCATTTGTGTTTGCCACGATAAGTGTCCCTGTGCAATGCCAGCTTAGCCACAGAGTGGGGACAACGATGTCACTACGTGCAGTCAATCAGTGGTGCAATCGCCTGTTATATACCACCATAAATCCCCATACTCACTCTCAGGGAGCATGGATCACGTGGGTGACGGAACACGAACATGCTAGCGCTGCGTCAGACAAAGTCAAAGCTTCAGCTGTCAAACCAGTTGCTTGCATGGGAATGCCATGCAGTGTTCTCACAAATACTTTACTTCAAAATAGTCGCATGATTTCGTGTATTTAAAAATGTAACCGTGACACAAATAAATTGACTATGCTAGATTCATCTATGTGCAATTAAACTAAATGTTGATCTCATGGCCTTGTTTAGCATTTGTTTATTATTAACCTTACTTATTTGTGGTCTACTTTTTCAGCTCCATATATAAGACCGTTATTAGGGGTTCTGCAAAATTCTTTCAAGTTTAAAAGGGTTCCGTGGCCAAATAAAAGTGGGACACACTGGTCTTACTGGCATGCTTAGCTGGTTAATTGGCTCCTGGCCTGGCTCTGTCCTCAGTGTGCTGTGGATGTGGGGGCTGCTGCACCCTGGGCAGGCCCACCACACTGCGCCATGGGTGAGTGCTTCTCCTGCAGAGAGGCATGCCACTGTAGGTCAGTTAACCAGTTAAACATCTAGTTTAACCAGTTAACATTTTAAATGGGATTTTGCATTGCCATCTTGCACCAGGCCTCCTAATTAGTCACCTTTTTATATCTGCAGAAGATTTGAACACTGAATTAACTCTTTGCCTGCTTCCCCCCTCCCCAGGCACCCTGTACTGTCTATTATGCAGCATTGCTGTGCACTGTTGAATAACTGCTCTGTCCTCCCCACCCCTGGAGGAAGCTATGCTGGAGGGCTGGAGGAGGTGATCTTCTCTGTTTGCAGCTTGCAATGCACAACTGGGATTTATCAGGCTGAAAGGTGTTTGTAGAAACTGGACATCATATGTGAAGGAAGCAGAAGTTTATTACACACAGCGTTGGGTGAAGTGTCATGTCACTTGCTTGAGCTCAGTGAACACTAAACTACCAAACAATAGGTTACAACTAGTTATACAGGATGCTCAATAGGCAGATGAAAGTGATGGGGGAGGGGAAAAGATCCCGGACCCCCTGGATAGATGCTAATAGTAAGGCAAGATAAGAGCAATAATATAAAGGTACATAGTGTTTCCAGTAAAACAAGTATTTAAACAAAGCAGACATCAATTATCAATTATCAGTTAAGTGGGATGCCAAGCAGAGACATTAGGGGTGCGTCTAGACTGGCAAGTTCTTCCGCAAAAGCGGCTGCTTTTGTGCAAAAACTTGCCAGGTGTCTACACTGGCCGCTTGATTTTGCGCAAAAGCACTGACGTTCTACTGTCCGAAATCAGTGCTTCTTGCGCAAATGCTTTGACGTTCCTGTTCGGGCAAAAGCCCTTTTCCAGAAATGTTTTCATGCAAGCGGGCCAGTGTAGACAGCTAAAAACTGTTTTGCGCAAAAAAGCCCCAATGGCGAAAATGGCAATCAGGGCTTTCTTGCACAAAACTGCAACAGAAAAACTTCCGTTACAAGCATTTGCAGAAAATCATGCCAGTCTAGACGTAGCCTAGGAGTACTTGACAATGGCACAGTTGTGCCTAGCAGCATTGAATGTGTCATGTCCTGTCTTCCACCCTGGGCTAGGTGTGTGTGTGTGGGGGGGGGGGTAGTCATTAAGTACTGTGTGTGTGTGTGCTAGTCCCAAACTCCAATTTAGAATAGATGTTCTTAACAAAATATCATAGCCTGCCTCAGAATTTTTCATCCTACAAACACGTAAGACCACAACCATCTTCATCTTCCCCAAACATCCTCTATGCAGAGACCAGTAGTGCTGCAGACAAGAGTCGCATCTGACCTGTGCTTGAGATACAAGGGATGTGGGGAACATTTTGTGTTATTTATCTCCACTGTGTGGGCTTTTGAAATGGAGCAAGGCAGGGGACAAAGAGTGACACTTAAATCTTGCAGTGGGAACAGTAAGCCACAAATTAAAATTACATATTCGCAACAAAGTGTGAGGATGCTGTAACTTCTTAGCAATCCAAAACCACAAATGTGGTTTAGTGGTTGACAGTGACATAACCCAGTGGTAGGTTTATATGCACTTTGAGGAATACAGTGATCTCAGTTTAACCACAAGCAGCACCTCTGGACCTCCTCAAGTATTTGCTCCCGGAGTGAGTTAGGCACATGGATCACACTGAAATTCAATGGGCATCCTTAGGCTGCCCTTTGAAAATCCCAGCCACAGTTGTTACTGCTTGTACCCTGGGCCAGTACTCTCTCTCCTCAGACAGAGTTCCCACTGGCTTCATAAGAGCTTTGTTTGCATGAGAACAGCTGGATTTGTTGTTCAGAATGAGTTTTAATCCACATGTCTATTTTACATTATAATGAACTGAAAAGGGGGGAGGGGGGGAATGATCCCATTTTAACATCATCTTCCACTGCTGATGAAGTTTGGAATCAAAATGTCCAAATAAATCTGTGAGTCTCTAAGGTGCCACAGGACTCCTCGTTGTTTTTGCGGGTACAGACTAACACAGCTTCCCCTCTGAAGCTAGGTCTACAGTGCCGCTTTTCCTGATGCTTTTGTCGGAAGAGGCTATTCCGACATTTATCCTGTCTAGACTGGGCCAAATGTCAGAAAACAACCCTCTTTAGGAAGCCCCCTTCTTCCTCATGGAACAAGGAATACAGAAGCTTCCGAAAGAGCATCTTTGCTCTTCCACTAAAAAAGTAGAAGAGTAAACATGTCCCCTGAATGAGGAACAGTTTTTCCGGGATACCTCCAGTATCCTGGAAAAACTGTTTAATCTAGATGTAGCCTAATACATACACAGTACAGTATGTGCTATAATACCAGGGCTTAATGCACAGCAAACACATGCATAGAATCAGTCTATTTACATCACTGCAGAGGAAAATAATTCATGTCCAAAAGACTCATTCTTAAGCCATTTTCCCACTAGATATGTTTCTAATTGTATCCTCCTTTTGGAAAGGAAGGTGAATTGCGGTGGGAAGCTAGCTCTTCACCCCTCAATTCCAAACTACATTTTGCACCGCTGCTCTCTTTGCTAAACTCAGTGCTGACATCTGGTGATGCTGCACAGCACAGCAACACCCTCTGTCTCGCACCTGGCTCATGCAATGACTTGAGCCACAAATGTTTGGGATGGAAAAGCCCCTTGCCCATGCAGGGAATAGGCTGTGAAGAAATGTTCTAGGGCAGTGGTCACCAACCAGTTTATCAGGTTCTTCTGGTAGATCTTGGAGCCTCTGACAGGTGATCCTGACTGGTTTGGCCAGGAAGCTATCAATGGGCACTTCAGCTGCCCCTCCCCCTACTGCT